TTTTTTCGTGATGTTGAGTGAACATAATGAGGAGTAAAATGCCACCGTTTCGAAGGAAAAAATCTGGAAAGTCTTTCCCTGTTAAAGTCTGTACCTTGGATGCTGAACTGGAATTCAGTTTAGAGGTTAGTTCACTTCACCCTTCTCAGATTACGTCGTTCCCTATATATTATATAAAGATCTTCTATGATGTGTTCAATTCTCAGTGGAGATCAACAGGAAGAGATCTCTTCGATTTAGTCTGCCGCACGATAGGACTAAGAGAAACATGGTATTTTGGGCTTCAATATGAAGACACCAAAGGCTTCATATCCTGGTTAAAACTAGATAAAAAAGGTGAGACATTCAGAATTCAGTAAAGTTTGTTGTGTAGGCACATTGTTAATACAAATTATTTTGAAACATATTACAGTTCAAGATCAATGCATCTCTCAGCAACCCACTACACCCTTTATGTTTTTGGCAAAGTTTTATCCGGAAGATGTGGCAGAAGAACTAGTCCAAGAAGTGACCCAACATTTATTTTTTCTTCAAGTGAAACAAGCAATTCTTTCTATGGATATTTATTGTCCACCTGAAGCATCTGTGTTGTTAGCTTCTTACGCAGTTCAGGCCAAGGTAATTGGGATCTGTAATAATTTGAAGTATAGGAAAATAGGCACCAAGGATTGGTTGATAGTGTAGTTTATTACATAAATAATACTTCAGCTGTAATATGGATTAATCACCTCATCAATTTTACGTTCAGTTATGTGCTATGTTTCTCAGTACGGTGACTATGACGAAGTTTCTTACCGTCCTGGAATGCTTGCCAGTGAAGATCTACTGCCGCAAAGGGTTATAGATCAGTATCAGATGACCCCAGAAATGTGGGAGGACAGGATAAAAATATGGTACGCTGATCACCGTGGAATGTCCAGAGATGAAGCAGAAATGGAGTATCTTAAGATTGCTCAAGATCTGGATATGTATGGCGTCAATTATTTTCCTATTAGCGTAAGTGTTCGAGGATTCGATTGATTAAGTGTGTTCATTCACTTTATATTAATATTACATCAACTTTCAGAACAAGAAAGAGACTGACCTGTGGCTGGGAGTAACAGCTCTGGGGTTGAATATCTACGAAAAGGAGAACAAACTGGCTCCCAAAACTACGTTCACGTGGTCAGAAATACGGCACATTAGCTTCGATGACAAGAAGTTCGTAATTAAGCCAGTGGAGAAGACGTCGCCGAACTTCGTGTTCTTCTCGCAGAAAGTTCGCATGAATAAACTGGTAAAAAAACAGTCAGATGTTGGCAGCTGGGTGAAGGGTTTGATAGCTTTAGGGTTGGACGAACATAGCAATGACAAAGCTGCTCACATATTATTTGTTAAGATCCTGGACCTGTGTATCGGCAATCACGATCTGTTTATGAGGAGACGCAAGCCTGACTCAATGGAGGTACAGCAGATGAAGGCGCAGGCTAAAGAAGAAAAGTCAAGGTAAGTTTCCGAATACATGTCCATTACATAACAGTGTTTTATTGTGTTAACACAGATGATACAAGATTTTATTGTATTATTAAATTTTATATTAAAGTATGAAAGAATTCTTTTAGCTTCCTAATTAATTGGAATGTTACACATGCTTCAATAATTAATGTTTGTGAAAATAATAAAGCATTTCTATACAACACGTGAAATACTTCCCCGAAAAAAAGGATATAGGAAAAATTTCACCGCTCGTTTATACCAATTACCAATTTTTAAGCCACGCCGTTCAACCTAATAAATTGTTTCTTCGCTTCTTATATATGTACTTCATTTCTATCAACTGTATTCCCTTCGCTTTTCTTTTCTTTTATTTAACATTTTGTAGGACCTGAAACCTAAGAATAGTTAGATAAATGTACATACAGGTTAGTACACTTACTTATATAAATTAAAAGACAAAAAGCAAATAAATCCTTGTATAAATATTTCTTTAATAAATCATACCTCGTACTGTCTGTTCTATAATAATTTTGTATCGACAGGAGACAAATTGAAAGAAACAAGCTAGCACGGGAGAAACAACTTAGGGAGGCAGCGGAAAGGGAGAAGGCAGCTATGGAACAACGGCTTCTACAATATCAAGAAGAAATTCGTTTAGCGAACGAAGCACTTGTAAGATAGAGTGTTGTTAGAATTAATATTCCCTTTAGAAATTCTTCTAACGTTTAAATCTACTACAGAGAAGATCCGAAGAGACTGCAGATCTTTTGGCCGAGAAGAGTCGCGTTGCTGAAGAGGAAGCAATGTTGTTAAGTCAGAAAGCTTCAGAGGCAGAACAGGAGATCACACGTATACGATTGAACAACATGAAGACTGAAGAGGAAAAGGTTCATCTAGAGAGAAAGACTAGAGAGGCTGAATTACTCACTGAACGATTAGTGCAAGAGTCAGAGAGAAGAGCTGCAGAAGCTGAAAAGTTGAAGGACGAATTATTACGTGCACGTATTGCAGAGAAGGAGGCAAAAGAAAAATTGCTAGAATTCTTAAGTAGAAATGCTTACACTGCTACTATAGCCGTAAGTAGATTTTCAGATTTGACTAAGTTGTTTATTCGTCTTACAACTTGAATTAAATATATACTTTATCTGTTGCAGTCTGTGCCAAATTTGTTTCCATCTACACAAGTACTTCCATCGGATTTACAAGCAGATCTTCAGACACTGCAATTGGATACAGAACCGTTACCAGCTGACTTGACCTCGTACGACTTAATCGCTGACGGTGATGTCGATCAACTGTCCTTAGAAATTGAAAAAGAGAGGGTCGACTACTGGGAGAAGAGCAAACATTTGCAAGAGCAGCTAAGAGAATTACGCACGGAGATCGAAGTAATGAAAGTTGGAGAGAAACAGTGTGAACTGGACCAGTTGCACGAAGAACAAGTGCGCCTCGGTGAGAACAAGTACAGTACGTTGAAAAAAGTGAAGTCCGGATCCACTAAGGCTAGAGTTGCATTCTTCGAGGAATTATAGTTTCTATATTTTTGAGAAAAAGTTGATGCTCGACGAACGCGCGAATGCAACAGGAAACAAAGTAACATACGATTGGGTATGAGAATATATAAATCCGGAATATATAAATCGTGTAGACACGTGCGTATGTATACGTTGTAGAATACTGAAACGTACGTTTTACCTATATATAACAATGTACATTCTGCTTCATTGTATGCATAGTTAACAGTTAAATTTACTTACTAATATTTAAACCGTCAAAGTTATTATTAGATTATCCTTTTACGTTTCATCATTGAATGATAATTACAGTAGAATTCTCATTTGAGCTTGGAGTTTTCACTATACATTATACTTGTTTGCATGTAACTGTGCTGAGTTAACTTTGAACAATTGAATGTCTCGGTAGAGTAAATATTAGATTTTTACAACAGAGTACATATACAGAAATCAAAATCGCAACTAAAACCTTTAGCTAGTATAATTATTTATAGGCTTAAGTGATTCTCGAAAGCGTCGATATTGTTCTCATAAATTCTGTTAGAGCTATGCAAGGTCTGTAGATAAAGTTAAGTCAGTAGAGTAAAGCGAAATTTACACATGCGGAATAGAGAATTTTATTTTTCTGAAACGTAAATATTATCAGTGGAACTTTTAATGTTTGTTATCACCATGTACTTCGTAATACTTCTATATTTTTTTATACGATCCTTCATTACACAGGATAAGCAATATTGTAATGCTTGCTTAGATAACTGTTACTGTCCGAAATGTTAATACTCTCTCAGACATGAAATTATTGAATGCTGGTCCATGTTTGTTTTGCAATATATAATTATAAAAGAAACTCGTGGAAAAATGCATTGAAGCTGCAGTCTAGTCAAACAACTTATGGAAATGAACTGGCTGTTCGCCAGAAACTTTGCCAGAAATGGCAAAATAAATATTTCATTTCGATACATTGATTCAGCCAAGAAAATGATCTGTTCGTTTTCATAACATAGTATGCAGTTCTACTAAAATAATCATATATAAAAAAAGGTTTTAATTGGCAAAGGATTTTTTACTCTTTATGATGTATTTACCGCATATAAAAATTTGACAACGCTAAAGACAGTTCGTACTCGTGCCTTGGTCACTTTTGCAAAAGTAAATTAAAAAAAAACTCAACGTTTATGTAGTGTTTACGTAAACAACGAAATGTACTGATTTTTTCGATAATGTTTTAAAATCTATATTTTTAATATTATGACAATTTTGACCAATGCATAGAAGGAATATTTAGAAATTTTTTGTACAGATGTAAAGTGAAATATTGTTAACGATTTTAACGCCATGAAACGACACGTTAACGATAGAGTTAGTTTGATTAGACTAGAGCGATAGAATTTTGTGCATTAATCGTGGCCTTTGGAAAAAATGTTCCTATCAATGTGATAGAGAACTCAGTGTTCGAGTATTTTATGACAAGGCTTTCCAAATATTTTTGTAGAAAAGAATTTATAATGAATTTATAAATTTTAAACATTCAATGCGAGACAATGAATAAGTAAATATGTCTATTTTTTTTTAGAAATAGAATCGACGTTCCTAGATATTTTTATAATTACAATTTAATGGAATATTATTACAACTGCAAATATTTTTCATAAATCAAATACATACAATACGATAAAATCGAAAGAATTTTAACTTTTATGCGATGTTAAGCATTACATACATTTTATAATCCTGTATTCCTAAAGTGTCATTTTATCCTTCTCCTTCTATGACTTTTAATTAGCTTTTAATATTTCATATTAATATGAATAGTTCACTGTTACGAGCTCTTCGAACACAACTTGTTATTGGACTGAACATGAAAGTGCCTTACATATAAATATTACATGTATTTATGTAGTAATTGTTACTCGAACACTGATTAATTTAATCATATGAGAATAATGAAAACATTAGAATTCTAAATGTTGCCTTTTCATGTTACAACGAATTATCTTTTCTCTAGATTCTAGATAATATTGAACTTCTAGTATTCTGTACTGAATATAATTATGTTATGTAAGACTTTTGACCAAAAATGTGGTGTGAGTGTTCAATTGGAATCAATAGCTGGAACTTCTAGCGCTGTTGTCTGTGATTCGCGTACGCGAGTATATTGGATGCTAATCGAAAAGTGCTTCGGCCATAATCAGTATTTTCTGTAATATAGAGGAATGTACCTGTAATTGTTATTCACAATTGCTTAATCAATTAGTGTACTTTATAATCCATGCCATGTTTTCTTCCTTAGAATTCAGATTAATATTAAGCTTTACATTACAGTATGCAATAAATGTACGAATATTTTCATGACATTGATGACTCTCTCCTAATTAACTAACCATGGAATGTTTTAAGAATACAAATATTTTATTCATATTTACACCTTATGTAACGAATATATACATATATATGTATATATTCTTCAATCTAAGTACAAACGTATTAAATCATCCTCTTGAGCAGGGTAATTTGTCACTGGACATTTTCTAGTGTTACGTATCACAGGAAGAATGCACTGATAGCAAAATACATAACTGTAAAATTAAATATTAATGATACATCGTCTTTTATTATTATTTCTAATCTCACCTTTAATAATGCATACATACCCAGAAATAGAAAGTACCACAGGCACTCTTATCGCTTTATGGCAAATGGGACATCTTCCTTTATACTCTTTAGCTATTTCTGGAATCTAATAGTAGTCGATTTTAATTTATAAAGAACTTTACATATTTTGCATTACAATTAGGATCTATAATGATTTCTACCTTTGGTGGTGGTGGAACAGGTAAAGTTATTAAACTTTTTTGATAATGCTCTTGTGTCCACCAAGATAAGAACTGAAGAAAGAATGCCCCAAATTCTAGAGATGTAGTTACTGTTCGTTGAAGTATATCCATGCCATCGCTAAGGCCAAATGAATTATCTTTGATTTTTCGTAATAGATCTGAAATGTTCAGTATCTGTTGTGGCTTAGAATATGTTAATGTAATGGATAAGAGTCTAAGAAGTGGCAACTGATACACAGATTTTCCAGCAACATATAGGACATAATTATATAACACCATGAATTCGTACAGCATGAAACTTATTGTGTATCCTTTGACAACACAATTACGATACAGTTTCTGCCATTTCTATAATAAAACATTGATTAAGAACTACATCAAAAAATATTTTACTTACAAAATAATAAACAAGAATATTTACCGAATGTGTTACAGAACCATTTATTTCTTCGAATCTGTATCTTTGACTTAGTTGATAGAATTTATTTTTCAAATATGGAAATAGAACTATAAATATTAAAGACAATTTCTCCTGTTTGTTTGGTAATCTATGTTTAATTTTAGAATCTATTATTGCTATGCGTTTCAAGCCGTAAAATGTTTCAGAAAAAGAAGCCGCTAGAATTCATACATACACAATAATAAGTATCATCAGTAAAATTATTTATGAATACAATAGGAATTAGTTACTTACAATATTTTTTTAAATAATGTCTTTGTAGAATTATGTTAAAAATTAAATAACTCTCATCTGCCCACCTGAGAAGATGTCCGTATCGCTCGAAGTTAAACGAGAGAATAAACTAAAAAAGAAATATTCATGATAATAAAATATTGATACGAAAATTTAACTTTGAAAAAAACAAAATCTTTATACTAAAATCTATGACTCAATTAAACAAATTTGAACCGAAACGGACATAACCTACCGACAAAATTTTTTTAAAAGCTGGTTCAACAGTTGATGCAAATGATTCTTGAGCGATAATTTCAAATATAGAAGGTCTTATAAACGTTGTTCCCGTTAAATGCGCTCCTTTTTCAGCCATAATTTATATTTGTTCCAGAATATACCTTGTCATTATTTCTACAATGACCTACGACCCTACGATAATTTCTTATATAAATTATAAATGTATCAAATTACGAATGATTTATATCAGATTCAATATACTAATGTGCATATTATTATCAAAAATCTTTTCAAATAACTTCAAAAATAAAATAAATATCTTGTTAAATTTTCATTAAGGTTTCTATTTTTTTCTGTTTTGTAGATACTGCAAATAATGAAAATAATTGTCTTCGCCACAGACACGGTATTTCAATTGCGTCTTAATTTTTAATAAATTTTTCTTTTTAATTTGTGAATATTCCCGCCAAAACGTGTGTTTTCCTGTTAATTAATTTTGTCGTCTCACGTGAGATGACGCTATTGGTCCGCTATCGCCTTATGGGTGTTTATGTAGTTGAATAAACAATATTTTGTTAATAAATATATGAAAATAAAATTACTTTTTATCCGATTATAATTGGATGAGAAGCGGTCAATCCGTTCTATACATTGTCTCGGTTGAACGAAGCAGTCAATGTCGAAATTGAGTGTGGATGTATTATAACCTAACACTTGGCGACGTTCTAAACAATGAATTATTGACAAATGGAAGATAAACCATTAAATCCAAATGACAATTAGATTCCTCAAGGTAACACAAGAATTCTTGGTAGTTGTTAAATTAAAGGATCAATTACTGGAAAGCTGAAGGATTTCTAACTATGGAAATGAGAAAAAAATGAGACTGTGCGACAGAATTATTTAAAGATGAATGTTTCTTAATGTAGTAACAAGACTGTCAATAAAACATTTACTTGTTACATTGAACTAACCACCATGTCGGGCAAAGGCAAGCAAAGTTCCAAAAAAGCTGTTGTTAAAGTTAGAGAAAGTGGGAAAACTGTTCATTCTTCAACACTGAATTCAGATACAAGCTCAGAAAGCATGGAAACAACTATGTCTTTATCTATTTTAAAAATTGTTGACAACAATCGTCTTCTTCCAAGGTACAGTAGTATTTTACAACGAAATGTGGAAGAAGGTGTTGGAATGGAAGACCTTGATACATTACAGTTAGAATTAGAAATGTTACTTTCATCTGTTGTTGTAAGACATCGAATGATTCAGGAGGAGATAGCAAACTTATCATCTGCAGAAGAGCGTAGAGATAGAAGATCTAAAAGCAGTAAAGGTTTGTCGCTTCTGGACAAAAAAGTCAGAGAAGATAAGTTTAAACCAAAAGAACTTAATGCTAAAACTCAATCACCTCTTCCAGCAAAACTGTTCAAGCAAAAAGCTGTGACTAGCTCGAATTCTCAGGTCATTCCAAATGTGCATGAAATGTCTAGGATTGAAGGTTCAAAATCTGAATCACCAAAGTTATTATTACCAAAAAATGATACTCCAAATAAGTTTTGGGCATCCGTTGACCCATATTGTACAGATATTATGCCAGACGACATAAAACTATTAGAAGAACTGATCGCTACACACAGTGATATTAGTGAATTCAAAAAGATTCCTCCATTGGGACGACATTATAGCTTATTATGGGCTCATAATGATTTATTGCAGGAGGAAGATGCAGCGAATCCAAATAGGGATAAAAAAAAAAGTCGTTCCGATGTATCCTTGTTGGTGGGAAAGAATGACAAAAAAGCACATAGTATAGCAGGACCTCTTACACAAAGATTGGTCTCTGCTTTACTGGAGGAAAATGTATATGTCGCAAATAACAACACGGATAATAAACTTTTCAGGGATAGCGATCCTCCTGTTTTAAGAGATCTTAGTATTCAGAACTCCATTAATCTAGAACTAAGAATGCATAAAGAACTTGTTGAACAAGGGATCTTGGAACCAGATGTACAGAAAAAAGGCCAGGAAGATGACGAGATTTTGACGGAAATCAAAAGATGTCAACAAGAGCTCACTGCACTTTCTAATCATAATGTAATGCAATTAAAAAGATTATTGAATTTGGCGCAAGAGGAGAGTAAACGGCAAGCACTGAAGAGAAAGATCAGTACAGCGGACAATGAAGTGATAGAACATTATAAGAAATTAATGCTTTCGAAACAAAGAAAGGTACCATTAACGAAAAAAGAACAAGAAAAGGCATGGGGCTGTTTACGAGAGAGAGAAAATCTTTTAGATCAACTGAATATGTTACCACATAATAATTTAGGAGAATCACAAATAGGTTTTAGCAATACTGTAAATTAATTCTTTCTCTTGATACCACCTAACA